TATTATTATTATTATTATTATTATTAAAAGAAAGCAAAACAAAAAAAATTTTTTTTTCGGGGGCGGTGGGAAAGGGAAAATTCATTGCAAATCCGTCATTTTTTTTTTTTTGGTAACGGTCGTTTTTCCGACAGAGAGAAACAACTTAATTCTCGTAACAACCAAAAGAGAAATTTTTCCTAAAAACGTGGATTTTTTCGGATTTTTCTGTGACGTAACAAACAAACAAACAAACAAACAATTTTCGGTTAATTAATTTTTGGGTTACGGTAAACCTTTTAGTTTATTCCTTACGATCTTTTCTTTACACATGTACAAATAAATAAATTAATCAAATCGTTCGTAAGGAAAGAGAGAGACAAAGAGAGAGAGATTTAAATTTTTTTAAATTTTTATTTTATTATCTTAAATTCTAGAATATTCTATTTAAAAAAAAAAAATTGCATACAACTTTTTGAAAGTTTAAAAAAAAAAAAAACTTTTTAAATTAAACAAAAAAAAATTTTTTTTTTTTCTCGTATATTATTATAATCGTTTTTTTTGCGTTTCCATAAGTTTAAAATTGTAGTTTTTTTTTTTAAAAAAGAAAATTATACGTGCATGTAATATTTTATAGTAATGCGTAAAAGAGTGAGTGTGAGAGAGATAGATAGAGAGAGAGGGAGAAAGTTAAAAAACTTAAAAAGAATTTAAAAGTTTAAGCCGTTGAAAAAGAATAACAAAAAGAAAAGAAAAAGTCAATTTATATCCTCTTTTTATTATTATTATTATTTTATTTTTATTTCATTTAATTTTTTTTTACATTAAATTATTCATTCTTTTGTAATTTGACTAAAAGCAAATAACTTTAAAGTTTAAACTTTAAAATCGGAATAAAGTAGTAAAAAAAATAAAATAAAGAAATTTTAGGTTCTTTTTGTTGTCGTTACGTATCTGCATGTTTTTTAAATTTAAAACCTTTTTTACTTTTACTTTTCTTTTCTTTTCTTTTCTTTTTATTTTTTTCCCCCATTCGACTCTTTCGTAATGCTATAAAAAAAATATATTTGTCATTGTTGCTGTTTGTGACACGTAACCCTAATTTTTTTTTTTTTTTTTAATTTCAAAACAAAATTTTCCATCATGGACTAATCAAAAGTTTATAAAAATTATGAAAATGTTTTTAAGCGTCGTTGATTTTCTATTTTTTTTTTTTTTGTCAAGGCGGAAATTTAAAATTTTGAACCAAATTGATTTTTATTCATTTTATTTAAACGTGTCAAAAGAAAATGTTTTTGTCGTGGTTGGTGGTGGTGGTGAAACGGTGTCGCACTTAGTGACGAATTAAAAATTTACCGAGGGTGATCAATAAGAACGCTATAATAGGTGTGTGAAATTTTTGTTTTGAAATTCCCGCCTTTCGCCATGGTCAACTTACCGCGTTTTACAAATGACGTTAAAACAAGGCTGTGAGTTTAAGCAGAAGAAATCGAGATTTTGTCTTCTGCTATAGTCATTTCTTAATCGTTTGACGATTTCACCGGATGTCATTTTTAATAGTTGGATAAAATTAATTCGATTAAAAAGGTGACAAAACAATAATAATTATTTTTTTTTATTTACGAGTAATTATATAAACTATCGGTTTCGCGCCAAAAAAAAAAATTCAAAATCGTTTTTTTTTTTATTGTTTTTAAAAAAAATTTTAAAGTTTGAAAATCAATAAATTTATTTTTTTTATTGATAATTGACCTTATTTTATTTATTGATTTTCAATATGAACGCCACGTTCAGGTAAATAATTTATTTTGTTTTTTTTTTTTTTTAAATAAATTAATTTAAAATAAATTTTTATATTTAAATAAATAATATAATTTAATTATTATAATTTTTTTTAAAATGGCAACTCGTTGTGAATAAATTACAAAAAAGAAATTTTTTTAAATGGTGATAAATATTTTTTTGTTAGTACGAAAGTTTTTGCGTAGGTTTTTATCAGTCTTGAGATTTTCAGGTCCGTCTAGATAATGAATTTGCTATCTGTTCTGTTGTATTCAGTTTTGCTTGAATTATTTCGTTAATTGCATCAAAAATTTTTCTTTTTGCTTGAAGACCTATAAGAAAAAATTATTACTACAACGGATCGCCCAAACGTTTCTTTTTTTTTTAATCAATAATTACCTGTCTCGAACAATGATTTTAGGAAATTCATTTTGGCTTTAAATAAAGCTGTCAGGGGATTGTCTGTTGTTGGTTCTGTAGTTGTGGGGGCTTCTGTAGTTTCCTCTTCTTGCGCCTCCTGCTCTTCCTCTTCCTGCGGATTCTCCTCGTCCTCCTGCGGTGGCTGCGGCTCTTCTTGCTCATCTTCATTCTCTGCTTCTTGCTCATTTCCATTACCTTCTGCTTCTTGACCAAAAACCTAAAAATCGAGTCTCTTTATTATTTCAGCTCTTTTTTCTTAAATAAGAATCATAAAATTATTTTTTTTTCCCGTAATTTTTCTGTTACGTACGATTAAAAAAAAAGAAAAATTTATTATTGAATGAAATTATTACCTGGTTCGCAAAAAAAATTAAAATTATTAATTTCAGCATTTCGATAATTTTTTAAAAAATTTTAACTTTTAATTAATAAAAAACATTAATTTACACTCGAAACAAAAGAAATAACGCATAGGATATTATTTATATTATTTTTCTTTTTCTATCTCTCTCTCTCTCCCCCTTGAATACCCTTTAACATTGAAATTATTTCAGGTGTAAAAATTTATTTTATTTATTCAACTGAAGACAAAAAAAAAACAAAAAAAATGGCGACAAAAAACAAAAAAAAAAAAAAACCTTAGTATAAAATGACAATGACCCATTTAAATTTTTATTTTCTTTTTTTTTTTTTTTTATTTCTTGTTTTGCATCCTTTTTATGTTGGCTTTGAATCGTATTATTTGTTTTTTTTTTTTTTTTTTACATGCACTTTTCGTGTTATTGAAACCGTTATTATTATTATTCAAAATCATTTTTCAATGTTTTCACCGTTGAATTAATGCACCGACGTTCTTTTGTTAAAATTTAAATATGTTTCATTGACATAATATCACAGGTTGTACAACACAAAACGATGCAAAAAAAAAAATCTTGTTTTCTTAGGTTGGCACCTTTTTTTGTTTTCCATTTTGATATATTAATTTAGTTACCAACTTCCGGACACTCATAATCTCAAGTTAACTTAATATTGGCTAGTTCATTTTGTTTTTGTTTTTTTTTTTGTTTTTAATTTTGGCAAACCTGATGAGGTAAATTAAAATAAGAAAAATGAAGTTGATTATGTTATCATAAAAAAAAAGAAACTTTATTCGAAAACATAAATACGGAACGTTTTTTCTTTGTGAAACATAAATTATTAATTTGATAATTATTTAATATTTTAAATTTTATAAGTAAAAAATTTTTTTATCCCCTCGCAAAAACTTTTTTTTTTATCCATAACTGGAAAAAAAATAAAAATTAAAAATTAAAAAAAAAATTTTTTTTTTTTTGGTGTTAAAATGAAAAAAAAAATGGCGGCATGAATCTTACGTTTTTTCCAAAATTTAACGATACATTCTAAAATAGGACATGAAGGAGGAGGAGGAGGAGGAGGTTTGATTGTGGTTGTAGTTGTTGTTTCTTCAGGTTTGGATGTTTGTTCTTCTTCGTATTTACTTTCTTCTTCTTTTTTATCATCATCTTCTTCTTCTTCTTCGTATTTACTTTCTTCTTCTTTTTTTTCATCTTCTGCTTCTTCTGCTTCTTTTTCTTCTTCTTCTTTAGTACTTTGACTCTCTTTTTCTTCATCATTTTTCTCTTCTTCGTTTGTCTCTCCGAATTCTTCTTCACTTTCTCCATCAATTTCTTCTACGCCCAAAACACTATTTATATTGTTTTTCATTTTTCCAAATATTTCCCCAACATCGCTTTTTTTCCCTTCTACCAGCATCTGAAAACAAATTCATCTCATTTTATTTCCAAAGTAAAAAAAATTTCAAATAATTAAATTAAAAAATAAAAACCTGAATAATCGAAAAAAAAAACACAGCAATAAATAATTTGTAAAACATTTTTTTTATTTGGGGGAAAAGTGGGGGGAGGGGAGGGGGTGGAAAAAAGAAAACGAAAAAAGGTTTTTTCTTTTATTTTTCGTTTATCTAAAGGAAAAAATTTTACTCTCATTAAAAATGTAAATTTTTTTTTTTTATTATTGAATTAATTGACATTGAAAATTAATTCAAATGTTTTTTTTTTTTTACTACAATCATGTCGATTGTGTAAGTTAACAAAAAGAAAATTTTTTTTTTTTTTTTTAACATTACAAGATTAAAATCAATTATTCATTTTGAATTCATTGACCTAATTTTTTTTTTTTTTTTTTATTAATTTTATGGCAAATGATTCAAAGATTTTCTCTCTTATAATAATAATAATAATAATAATGATGACGACAACGACGACGATCGTAATAATAATAATAATAATAACGTTTTTATTTCTTTTACATTTTCCTCGAGGGAGGTTGCGTAACAATTTCTTGTGCCAGAATTTTCATCCTTCCTTTTTTTTCCTTTCTTT